ACCCAAAAACAAAAACACTTTTCCCCCCCCCCCCCCCCAAAGGAAGCTACGACAAAGACTATTGATTTTAGAAATTACCGTAGCCGGGATAGGGAGGATAGAAAGCCAAAAACATTCCACACCTTGGAGCACGGCTCGCACAAACTCGGTCCTACCTGCATATGATAGAGAGGAAGTCGACCAAGGTATGATGCAAGAGCGTCTATAGCCATTCCGACTCTTTGGAAGCATCCAAATTTGCATGCCATGGTGAGTGACCTTTCCATACCACAATATGTCATCACTTGACCTTGATAGAACATGACCAGTAAAAATAATCTCAGCAGATGGCTCTTCAATCAATTGGAGATGGTTCTCTCCTCCATCGTCATGATATGGATCATATACCGCAATGTATGATGGCGACATGACCCAATGGAAAACACCATGAAGCACATGAAGAACACTAAATGGCACCAAATGAAATTTATCTGTGGCGACAAGTGTTGATATGACCCATATTCCCGTCTTCGATGAGTAAGTGTCAATCATCAATTTGTCATCTAATATGTTCATATAAGTAACACCAAACCTCACAACTCTGTAATTTGTGACAAGTCGGGTTGTACTTTCTTCGCAGACCAATCCACTCGATATTTCAAGAAAATCTTTGTGAGGTGATGGAATGAACACCCACTTTTTAGTTAAAGGGTTCATTACATTGTAACTAGTCGAGTCGTCACCACAAAGAATGATGCCATTAGACGAGCAAACGAAGTGGCCAAGTTCTCTTGGGATGGAATAGCTTTCGTTACTTGAAAGGGATAGGATTTTGGTTTTGGGTCCTCGAAAGGGAAGATGATTTCTAGGGAAGTTCTCGGTTTGCATGAAGCCCAACAAACGTCCAACTCGACCTTTTCTACGATTGGCATAACAACGAAGGAACAAAGGGTTGTTTATTATTTGGTTCCATCTCTTTGATACGCACATGAATTTGAACACACATTTTGGTGGTAATCGAGATAATATCTCGATCAAGACATCATTCGAATCATCATGAAAACTAAAGCTATAATTGTATATGCAAATATGAAAACTTTGAGGTTTTATTTTTTGATTATGTAGGTAAATATTAAGGCGATCAAATAGATAAATTGACAGTATATTCTTTTTTGTAAATGTCAATTAATTACTACCAAATCCTTGAAAATCCATAATGAAAAGAATAGGTAATTGTAACGTGTGTATAACATAATAATGGCATCACATGCTTATTATGGCATATCATTGAAAATTAAAATTAAAAGTAACAAAAACTGAAAATTTAAAAGAGAAAAATTAAAATGTTTATATCTAAAAATAATAATAATAATAAATAAAGGAGTACATGTATAATTTTGTGTTTTAATAGGGACAAAAAGCGTACCATGTCTTTTTTGGAATCAATAATAATAATAATAATTGCAGAGGAAAATTCTCATCGAGTGGTTGTCACTCAATTTTTTCTGAAATTTTATCGGGGTTACTCGACTTTGATTTATTGCAATCCCATAATTCAACTTCAATTTTAATTAAAAATTATTTTTCTCGTCTCTTTCTATCACTGAAACTAACGTTTTTAGTTGCGTTATAAAGCCTAACATCCAAAAGCCTAACATCCAACTGATTTCTCACTAATGCTAACTCACCAAAGTTTTTGTGTCTACTACTAACTAAAAAAGGAAAGTTAGTTTTGGTGCCGAAAGGAGACTTAAGTGATGAAATCGTAATAAAATTGAAATTGAGTTACCACAATAAGATTTCGGTGAAAGTTGAGTGACCTAGAGTGTAATATGGCCATTTTAATGAAGTGTCAATCGTCAAACCTCAATCTCCCAAGCCCTTGTGTCTTTTTGGATGAAAATAATTTCAAATACCAAATTAAAATAAATAAATAAATAAGAAAAACAGAAACAAATACTGAATTTCATTTTTAAACCTTTGAAATTTTCTATTTTATTATTTTTTATTTTTTCTAGTTTTGTAATTTTAATTAACTTTTAATGCCTCATCATAGTAATCTGGCACATAATTGCTTATTTTTATGACCATCGAAAGTAGTTTTTTGTAGAATAAATGGCACATTAGTAGTCCCACGGCAAGGTGAGAGTGGCCAAATTGTAATAAACTTGAAAGTTGATTGATCAGATTGATACAAAATAAAGTTTAGTCTCACCTACAACCAATATGATGACACAGGATTTCCCGAGTGTCTACGACCTTCCTAGTGTCAAAGCTTCAAAGCTAAAACCTAAAAGGTAAAACTCGTTAATTTCAAAAAATAATAATAATAATAATAAAATTTAAACTTTGTGAAAAGATGGGTAGTCGATAAAACTTTTAATTTACTTACATCATGTACAAAATTTAAAAGTGCCTTTAAACAGAATAATTAGCATGTACCTTGATAAGAATTATCCAGGCTCTTAAATTTGCTTACAATTAATTAATGGGGTGGATTTTCACTCAATTTGTGTGAATATGATGTTCATAGTTAAAAATCCCGAGTTGAGGTAAATCGAGCAAAAATGAGAGGTGAAAAGGATGGATTTGCATTAATAACAAGGAGTTGGGTACTTCAGGATGGCTTCGCAAGTTTTTGGAGACCAAATTTGCCATTTGGAGGGATGGAGTTGGGAGCCAAAATGGATGATATAAAAAGTTTGGGATTAAATTGAACTTTTCAGATGTGGTTCCCAAACCAAGACTCTATCCCTAAGACTCATCGGCTTCGGCTCGTCTGCTTACCTCTGCCTCTACGTGATTCCTATGTGGAAGTGATTAGGACTCCACGTAAGGGTTCAATTTCGGTATTATACTGTTCATACAAAGTGTGTGTACAAAATTAGTTGACAAAATAACCGTTAACAGACTCCAAATTATTGATTTCCAATGATTTAAAAGTATGTTTTTAAAATGACTGGTGTAAATATTACTTTGTCAACCAACTTTATATACATTGCATACTCTCAATTTTGTATATGGTATTGGAAGAGAGACAAAGTAACTTTCCTGTAAGGGTTCAATTTCGATATTATACTGTTTATACAAAGTGTGTGTACAAAATTAGTTGACAAAATAACCGTTAACAGACTCCAAATTATTGATTTCCAATGATTTAAAAGTATGCTTTTAAAATGACTGGTGTAGATATTACTTTGTCAACCAACTTTATATACATTGCATACTCTCAATTTTGTATATGGTATTGGAAGAGAGACAAAGTAACTTTCCAAACAAATTTATAAAAGGTCCCAATATAGATACAATGCATGTACATAAGAAGCATACGAATGGCTTATATATATCATATGAACAAGCAAAATGTCTGAAAGATAAAAGGGAAAAAAAAAATCTGATACAAAATGAAGACCCAAAAAATGGTGTAGAGATTTCCAATCAATTGTTACAGCTCCATCTTGATGTAGGAACACAGCTTAGATAATGGCACCAGCTACAGTGTTTGTTTGCATTTTCTCCTCTAAACAGCATAACCAATCCTACTGTAAACCTGCAAAGTGGAAGGGAGCAAGAACAGATGTAGTTAGTTTTCGACGTCGGAAGAATCGTGTACGGTATGTTTAGTTGAGTGAACTAGTCGGGGCATCATGTAGAAACTCGACCGACACTTTGACATTTGATTTGATCATATAATGTGGCAAAATTTTATGAAAATAAAGCTTACCCGACGATCAATAAAACTGCGGAAACCATCAAGAAAGCGTATTGGAAAAATGTATACTTGGACTTGAGGCGAGTATCGGCAGGAAGATTCCGACGTTCCAGCCAACCGAATTGGGGTCGAATCAGCAATAAAAAGCCAAGGAGAAAACCGCTCAAAAATCCTCCAATATGAGCAAAGTTGTCAACGTGTGGAAGAATTCCGACTGCCAAGTTAATTGCGATAATGACCACCAGAGTAATCAGAGCTGCCGCCTTTATCAACAATGAAAATTGTTAAATACAAATGAAAAACTGTTCATCTGATTTCTGAAAAAGCAGAAAAAGAGCATAAAATTCTCACCTTATTAGTATAAATAGTCCAGTTGGTGAGTAACTCGGATAGCATTGCACCAAGAAGTCCAAATAGAGCACCAGAAGCTCCAACGGATATACTTCTTTGAATAAAAAGGGCAGAGAGTATGCTCCCACCAATTCCAGACAGAAGGTAGATAAAACCAACACGTACTGCAATGGAGGCCACGTTGTCAATTTCAATCACATTACATATTCACAGATGTTGACTTTCACTTTACACTCTTGTAGCTAACCAAAGGCGTAAATAAGATTTAAGATACATACCAAATCCAAATTGCTGCTCAAGGCGAATTCCAATAAACACGAGGCTCAGCATGTTAGCAAGTAAATGGATAACACCAGCATGCAGCCAGATACAAGTTATTAGCCGCCATGCTTGATTTTGGTGAACAATTTTTTCCCATTCTAGCGCTCCCAGTTTTTCCAGTCTGCAAAAGTAGAGGCAAGAATAATGTAATTTCTGAAGAGAGAAAGACGAAAGCAATTAACGGAACAAGGGGGCACTCAAAGAAGCCTCCCTCCCCACCACAGTCAAAAACAAACACAACACAATGCAAAAATCAATTCCACTGTAGAGTATAAACCAATCAACTCAACGAGAACTACAATTTTACATTAAGATGAAAAGTTACAACAATAAGCTGAAAATGATTCAGGTAGCGAAACTAGGTGGATATCTAAGGAGATCAATTTTGGAGGTAAAATTGTATCAATTTTAAAAATATTGTCAAAACTTAAAATGTAAGCTAATGGCAAGAGGAAAATGACTATAACATTTGGAGGTGACTGAAAACTGCTCAAGTACTTCACATTCAATATCCATTAGTCTAGATCAATAGTACGGAAAGAAGAATTGGCAGGGTACGATAGTTTAATTTATGATATTGTTTGTTTCTTAGATATATAAGAAAGTGCTTTTTTGTGTGTTCTTTTAAAATTTTGATTGCCTGTTGTGGTTTGCTAGGGATTCAACAAAACAGAATGGAGAAAAAGGATCACACTGAAGATTTCAAACCTATCGGAATTACGCTTAGTTTGTTGATATTCATGACCAATTATGGGACACCGAGCTATGGCGATCAATCAATTCATCATCTAAAAAACACCTCCATGAACGCATAACAAAACCCCAACTGGCCCCAATTATTCTTAAGATCCCATCCCATTCAAATAATAAGTAACGTCAATACAATAAAAGTGAAATTAGACTCAGCTTGCAACCAAAATCATACTAAACCATTGCACTGTATAAAGGTTCAAAAACATATACAGTCAGATGTAAATCTGACAAATGAGAGCGTCAAAATCCAGAGCAAAAAACCCTATCTTATAATTTCAGAGCAACCAAGTAGTAGTTAGCTAGCTAGAAGCAAAAGTGGGTAACTAATTTAAGAATAAAGAAGTTAATCAAGAAAAGTCACAGACTTGAGTCTACAATCAATTCTCAAAGTAAAACACTTAAAAGTCAGCCATTAGTTTCCAAGCTAAAAAAATTGAAATGAATCCCAACAAATACTTCAACAAATTAATCTAAGTTTCAATTCGAGAATCGAAAAGGGGATATAATAATAATAATAATAATAAAGCGAAGAGAGAACCCCCAAAAGATAAGGAAACCTTACGTTGACGAAGAAGGGCCAAAAAGAGGATTTTCCCCAAGAGGTTGAAATGAAAGTCTCCCTAGAAACTTAGCCACACAATCACCTCGATACCCATTATGATTCTTGGGACAATTATTTACAAGCATGATTACCACAAACATGGCAACATTCGCCACAACAATCATAGGCACCAACCATGAAGTCCACTGGCTGTCCGAATAACCCACATCATATGTCCCTCCAGATGCATAATAGCTTTGTGGGTAGCGCTGATTTCTACCCTTAGTTGTCGTTCCTCTCTCCAGATCCCCATTTCCCATCATTTTTTTCTCTCTATTTCCACAAAAAACACACAGTACGTATGAATAATTGAATAACAAGCTGTATCTATAATATATATTTATATCCCAGTAGAATATGTCTTAGCTTCAAAGATGAGAGAATTGGTAGAGATTTCAATTCAAGAATAAGGACAGGGCAACAGGGTTTGTAAAGGGATTGAATTTGAGTTGATTATCACTTTCAATATGTAGTCGTTTGTTTGTTGAGCTGTGCGTGCAAAAGGAAGCTTCGTCCGATGCCAAATGTGCCTTTTAACGGGTATTGAATTCGTGTAATTATTATATTCTTTTCTTTAAACCTTTCTTGTAATTTTTTTATGCATAAAGACGCACAATTTTACAACTTTGGAGTAAATCATGGCCTATCAAATCCGTGTCTAGGACGCGTAGGATTTTTTAATACGCGTGGGACCCAAGTTTCCGAGTAAGAAAAGAAGAATTATGGAGAAAATATTTCTCGCCGAATTATTTATTATTCGTGAGCCCAATTATTTGAGGTTTTTTCCGAGTAAGAAAGATTGAAGAATTTTGCTACTTTATTCAGATGCATAAAGACGCACAATTTTACAACTTTCGAGTAAATCATGGCCTATCAAATCCGTGTCTAGGACGCGTAGGATTTTTTAATACGCGTGGGACCCAAGTTTCCGAGTAAGAAAAGAAGAATTATGGAGAAAATATTTCTTGCCGAATTATTTATTATTCGTGAGCCCAATTATTTGAGGTTTTTTCCGAGTAAGAAAGATTGAAGAATTTTGCTACTTTATTCAAAAAAAAAATTTATCCGAATAGTTGACATCCTCTCACATGCTATGGATTTTGCGTAAATAAAAAAAGTGAGGCCCTCAACATTGTGAGTCAGTCATCTATCTGTCAACAAAATTCGGGCACTGTAACATGATCGTAAGAAGTATTCAAGTGAAAATTTTCTATGCTTCGTTTTTTTCACAATTTTCTCTTTTGTACTTCCTTACGTCTGGTCACGTCCCTAACCTAGAAATTTAATGACAGAGAAAAAAAGAAGCAATTTTGACCATACATTCCTAATTTGTTTATTTGGAGTACAAATACACTGAAATTTTCAAAGAAAATTTAATCAAAACTTGCACTGACTATGCAAAAACGTGCGATTATCTTTATTAAAAGTAAATTTAAATTGTTGATAAAAGCGTGATAGATGAATATATAATAATTTGGTCTACTCGTCTCGATAAGATTGATATTTTAAATGGAACCTCCGCACCCAATATAATATCTAAACTTTATTAAGATTTAACAAACAATTTGATCCGTTTAAAACTCAAATCAGCGTTCGAATTTCAATGTTATGTGCTCAAATAAGTCATTATCTTACAGAATATGTTAAAAGATAAATTTCACATCGATTAAATATGAAATCGATAATCAAATTACGAAAAATGGGACTACTCTTAACAATGTTAACTTCTTAAAATGAAATTTCGAAGATCCAATTTAATTAAGAATTAGGAAATGATAAACCCACAAACTTTTAACATTGTTTAAGACAAGAATTAGTACACGATTAGTTAATAATTTTAAAAAAGACTTGGATTTTGACATGTTCAAGATTCTGATTTGTTTGAATATTTCGAAGTGTGAAATGAAATCCCCGGCCGTTCTTGTGTTCAACGAATCATTGACAGTTTGTTCTTGTGATTTAAGGCGAAGATAAAGAAGAGAAAACAAATTGCAATTTGAAGGGTTGGAGTGATGAATTAGGTGTGACAACTATGTCCAACCTATCAACTCAAATATTCAATATAATTTGATTTCGTTGCATAAACGCGTTATAGGGTGGCAGGTAATGGCCACAGGATATATGGTAGAGTTTGTGCGCCCAACTAACCATATACTATATTCATTACACGTATTATATAGTTGGACTTTTTGATAAGCAACGACGTACACTATACATACTCTACACATTTATGACATGTTTGACAGATACAATGTCAATTTTTTGCTCATCTTGCTATTGCTTTGGGTTTGCAAAAAATTGCGTAGATCTTAATAAAATATGCTTTAGGGAACCAACCCTTTTTGGAACTGCATAAAAGATATGATTGTGAACCAATTTCAAATAAATAAATAAAAAAATCTTGAATAAAAGAGAAAAGTTCGTGGTGATTCATCCTGTGTTTAATGAATCGCTCCTTCTAAAAAATCTCTCTCCTCTACCCAACTTGGCCATGTGTTTCTGGGTTGGAGGCGAAAACTAGAAAGTTCATCATTCTATGATAGGTTGTTCACTTGCTCATAGTAAAGAAGGCGACAGACTTTGGTTCACAGCAGACTGCCAACTCCTTTCAAGACTCAATCGTCGGGTCATTGTATGTTTCACCGTACCATAAGGGGTTGTGATAACAATACTATCGAGTGTTGCATATAAAACCAATCTCGTCAAATGTGTACAGAAGTGAACCGAACTTCTTGTTTCGACTCACCAAACAGGATTGCACTCAAACAGGCTGAATTAGGAATAATGACAAGATAATCCATCCCCCTGAAAGGGAGCACAAGGAAACAACTAAGAATATCAATCTGGTAACATCGTTAACTCAGAAAACCGACCATTAGCTATAAGAACCCAATCAACCCAATAAATAATTGCTTTGACGATTGCCTCGAGAACAGGACAACAAATCTCAAATCAGTGTCGAATGAATCTTCTTTCGGGTTTCAGTAGGAGATCAAATATGGTATGCTATATTGCTCTCAAAAAAAACTCCATGTCAAATAAGTCTTACAAGCTAACGCTCAAAACTATAAAAGGCCAACGCCCAAATTGGAATTGAACATCGACAGTCTTACAATATCATTCATAATGAAGCAGCGACAACATTTAAAACACTTAGGAAATTAACGCTTGCCACCACTGCCTCCAAGCTTAGGACCCTTGGGTATAGCACCCTTGGGCACGTTGCCCTTGGAGGCCTTCTGTGATTTGGACATCAACTCAGCCTTCTTTGCCTTCTTCTCGTCCTTGGTCTTCTTTATTCTCTCCTTTATTTCACTGAGAACAAATATTATGAGTCATAATGTGTTCTATTAAGAGCATGGTTGGCTATGCATAAAGGCAAACCTGCTTTTCAGGATACAAACTTTGCCAAAACAGGATTTTGAATTTTTTCTAATAATAATACTTTCCAATAAGTCTTACCTTACTTTAACCTTTTTGGAACTGCATAAAAGATATGATTGTGAACCAATTTCAAATAAAAAAATAAAAAAAGTCTTGAATAAAAGAGAAAAGTTCGTGGTGATTCATCCTGTGTTTAATGAATCGCTCCTTCTAAAAAATCTCTCTCCCCTCTACCCAACTTGGCCATGTGTTTCTGGGTTGGAGGCGAAAACTAGAAAGTTCATCATTCTATGATTGGTTGTTCACTTGTTCATAGTAAAGAAGGCGATAGACTTTGGTTCACAGCAGACAGCTAACTCCTTTCAAGACTCAATCGTCGGGTCATTGTATGTTTAACCGTACCATAAGGGGTTGTGATAACAATACTATCGAGTGTTGCATATAAAACCAATCTAGTCAAATGTGTACATAAGTGAACCGAGCTTCTTGTTTCGACTCACCAAACAGGATTGCACTCAAACAGGCTGAATTAGGAATAATGACAAGATAATCCATCCCCCTGAAAGGGAGCACAAGGAAACAACTAAGAATATCAATCTGGTAACATCGTTAACTCAGAAAACCGACCATTAGCTATAAGTACCCAATCAACCCAATAAATAATTGCTTTGACTAGGATTGCCTCGAGAACAGGACAACAAATCTCAAATCAGTGTCGAATGAATCTTCTTTCGGGTTTCAGTAGGAGATTAAATATTGTATGCTATATTGCTCTCAAAAAAAACTCCTTGTCAAATAAGTCTTACAAGCTAACGCTCAAAACTATAAAAGGCCAACGCCCAAATTGGAATTGAACATCGACAGTCTTACAATATCATTCATAATGAAGCAGCGACAACATTTAAAACACTTAGGAAATTAACGCTTGCCACCACTGCCTCCAAGCTTAGGACCCTTGGGTATAGCACCCTTAGGCACGTTGCCCTTGGAGGCCTTCTGTGATTTGGACATCAACTCAGCCTTCTTTGCCTTCTTCTCGTCCTTGGTCTTCTTTATTCTCTCCTTTATTTCACTGAGAACAAATATTATGAGTCATAATGTGTTCTATTAAGAGCATGGTTGGCTATGCATAAAGGCAAACCTGCTTTTCAGGATACAAACTTTGCCAAAACAGGATTTTGAATTTTTTCTAATAACAATACTTTCCAATAAGTCTTACCTTACTTTACCAAAAGTATCTTATAAATACAGCCAAACATGCTCTAATATATTGCTGAAAACATACTCATAACGCTTCTACAATCATGAGAACATCAAACATTTGAACCCTAAACATACCGTAAAGCAGCTTCACGTGCAGCATCACGGACTTCTGGCTTTTCAGCTCTTTTCTTCTGTATGACTTCCAAGGTTGCACCAACAATTGATCTAGAGTAGGGCTTCTTGGTGGTTCGGCGCCTCTTCTTCACAGTTTCAGCAGCAATGTCCTGTGGATCAGTCAAGTCACACGAACCATCAGTGTCAACAGGATAATGAAGGAAGTCTATTCATCTCAAACACCAAAGAAAGTTAAATGAAAAAGAATTATCAACTAAATTTCACCTTCTTATGTTGTTTCCTGTATACAGCAGTCCATGTAAGCTTTGCAGGCCTCAGGCGGTTGTGAAAATACCTCTTGCATTTTGAGTTGGCAAAGAGGAAGACCTTCATCGCGGAAAGGGCAAAAAAAAAAAAAAATAGAGCTTGGGTGAAAAGTGAAAACAGAATACGCACCTTCACCAAATGACATAAATAAAGTAGGAGAACAATAAATGTATAGAATCGGCCAAAAAAAGTGAAACTTGATGACTGAAGAAACTAGGCAAAACGTAATAACGTAACAGAAATTTAATAAATCAAGCACCAAAGTATTAATCCACCTGTGAATCCGAGCGAATAAATCTGATACCCTTCCCTGGGTATATCTTGGCACCACTGAAACGACAAAGCTCTGTCCTGATTATCCACAATTAACAGGTGAGTCAAACAGAAGTAAATTAACTCTGAAATAAAACTGTAAAATCTCAATGGAATAGAAGCAAAACTTATCCAAACCAAGCCCCTTCTACCCCCCAACTAAAATACCAGAGTACAAACAAGGAAAACATGCAAAAATAGCATTGTCCAGTAATCATATAAATATATCATCCCATGCTCTTCAAGAGTCGGTAATTGAGTATACTTCTAGGAAAATGGAGTACAATTTCTATAGTAACAGTCACGAGGCCTTGTAATAGCATATATATTGCACCAACAGCAAAATGAGGAGCAATATCACCTCTGACATCTCATGAACTCTTTGAAACACATCAAACAACAAAGAATAGTCTAAATAAGACGAATGCATTCTATATTTATCGTCTAATATCATCTTCTATTTGTCAAATGTAAAACAAACAAATTCCAGATAGAAGCATCTATTAGAACACCGTATGCTACTGTCTAGCAACAAAACTTCGTAAGTCCCCCAGCAAATCTAAAATCATACTAAAATAACGACCCCTTAAAATTCCAATATTACCTACATCCAATAAATAATTTACAGTTTAACACTAACGTGCAATTTCTAGCCACACCATTACCATTTTTATTCAAATAGTAAAACCAACCCTTAAAAGCGACACACATCTAAGCCAAGAATTGGATTATGCATCGAGAGAGAGAGAGAGAGCAAAACTAACTTGAGAACCATTGTTACAGTAGCCGAGCTCGCCGCGCTTCGTCTGCTCCTGGAAATGCAGAAACCCTAATTCCTGGTGAGCAATAAATATTGAAAGGCTACACTGCATGTGTGTGATTTTGGACATTCCATTCATGGGCTCTTAAAGCCCATATATTGTTGGTGGGCTCAATTAATAAACACCTATGTGGGTTCCAGCCCTGTTAAAGCCCAATAAAAATTAGGCTCCACGAATGATGGCAAAATACCCGCCTCCGTCCCAAACCACTCGACTCTTCTTGTTTTATAATTTTAAATTGAAATTAAACAAACAAATGAAATAAACAAGATGAAAAATCATATCGTTTGTCCCATACTATTGTTGCATTAGCGAGTTAATTTTAAACTTTTTTAAAGCTAAGCGAGTTAGAAACCAATCTTTCATTAAAATTGCACGATCAATCCTCGAGATGAAGACGATTCAAAGTGTCATTTAATAAACTGAACTATTGGAAAATAGGTTTCATTGGTTATACTATTGTTGCATCAGCGAGTTAATCTTGAACTCTTTTAAAGCTGAGCGAGTTAGAAACCAATCTTTCATTATAATTGCACGATCAATCCTAGTGATAGAGACGGTACAAATGTCATTAGATTATTACACAAATTTCATAAAAAAATTCAGATACGTTGATATTAACAACATAAATATATAAATCAAAATCCGATATTGTACTTCCATGAGTTTGAGGGCAAAGTTGATGTCTTGGAAGACACAGACAACTATTACTCGAAAATTAATATAGGAAAACAATGGTGCGAAAATTTTTACTACTCTTTTGACAGTTTACTTCAGCAGCTTTCTGATTATGCTGCTTTGGCTGTTTCCCGGACCAATGCAAGCTTAGCCAGCAGACCGCACAACTGAAGATATGAACCGACTCCATCACAAATCCTCATGTGGGCAAATCCAGTTTCCTGAGTATCCAACAGAAGAGAGTGTAGGTAAAAAAGAATGGGAGAAAAGACGATATAGAGATACAACGGGTTCAAACAGACCTTCATGAATTCCAATTTCAGATATTCTGCCATATCGTAGTTCTTTATAATTCGGAAAAGGGTAGTGATTATATCGGTGGGTGAATAGCCCAAATCGTAGAGCTGCTTCAAAGAAGCACAAGCTTCATCGAATTTCCCTTCAATTACATTGCGTACCATGTTCTTCACATGCAAGGGATGAGGCTGATCACAAACCTGGAAGCCAACCAAAAAATTAAAAATAAATCCACACAGTTCGAAGATTAACGCTAAGACAATGCTGAAATTCCTGCCTAGAGACCTTGAAAACATTTTCTTGGTTGACGAAACCAAATCCACTGTTTGTCGCTTGCAAGTTGTTCAAGGCCTGTCTCATGTCACCATCAGCCGTAAAAATGATTGCTTCAAGACCTTCTGGAACATAAGGAACCTACATCATTACAAAATATGTCAATTTGGCCTTGACTTGAAATTATCGTCCCAGATACATGGGGAAAATTCAAGCCATTCGAATAGAGAACATAAAACGTTGATCCTAAGTGAAGACATTTTGAGTAATTACAAAATATGTTAATTTGGCCTTAACTTGAAATTATCATCCCAGATACATGGAGAAAATTCAAGCCATTCGAATAGAGAACATAAAACGTTGATCCTAAGTGAAGACATTTTGAGTAAACACAGAACATAAGAAAATGATAGTAGACCTGGAACTTATCTTCGGTGCCACAAAGAACATTAGGGTCTAATAAAAGCTGAAAGCACATTAGAGACCATGCTAATACACGCATTTACAATAACATTAGTTGGGGCCTCACGTTCAAGCAAGTAGAGATGAAAATGGAACTATTTAGCAAAAATACTAAAGGGTAAACGCCATAGACAAATCAATATATGAATTCAATCAATCAGCCATGTGACTTTAGAATTTTTAAATAAAAGCAGGAAAATGCATTTCTGAAATCAGAAATGTCACCACATTTAAGACATTGACAGACTTCACTGAAAGCTTGGAAGAAAGCTGTTCAAGGAGAGTATAATTCAAAACGGCATATTTATCACAGACAGAAAACGTATGTACCTTTTCTGCAGCAACCACCACCATGAGACGTCCAAGGATCTCTTGATCGGATAATCTTGCAAACCGAACAAGGGCACATCTGCTCTGAATGGGCTCAATAATTTTTGAAGATGTGTTGCAAGCAAGTGCAAAGCGCGTGGAATTTGAATATATTTCCATTGTCCTCCTCAAGGCTTGTTGAGCTCCAGATGTCATGCTAATTTACATTCAAGAAGACAATAACACAGACATGTCCAGAACAAATATAAGTAAACAACTTGAAAACTAAGACTAGACAGACAGAGACCGCCAAGCTACAATATAAGCAATTGCCTGGCTAGTAAATGCGTTAAGATTAGACGAGGAAAAAAAGAAAGGGAATAAATTATGCACAGAAATAATGGTCCTTGCATGAATTTCACTCACAGGCAGAATGAGCACATTAGCAACTCAATCATAAGATCACTCACCTGTCAGCTTCATCCAAGATAATTATTTTGTGCCGACCAGGGGGCAGAGTGACTTTCTTCTGGGCAAACATCTTTATTTTGTTTCTCACAACATCAATCCCTCTGCACAAGAAAAAAAATCACCACATTTTCAGAAAATCAACCAAGAGTACAACAAAAACAGAGAAAATAGAGCAGAGTCATACTTTCACATACCTGTCATCTGATGCATTCAGTTCTAAAACCGCCTCTCTATAATTTGGTCCCAACAGTTCATGTGCAAGTGCCAATATACTAGTGGTTTTCCCGGTTCCAGGGGGGCCCTGTAAATGCATTCAAGAGCTCGTAATGACAATCTTCATATGTATCCGAAGGAAGTGACGTGTCTAAACTGAAAGTCTCCTGAGAGATAATGAGGAACTTGTTTGTTCTATCATTACTCTCCCAAAATTTAATAATCGCCTTAGCCAAAAAATATTTATTAAGCAAACAACCAAAAAGATAGGAATATACATAAAAGAGAAAATAATAGAAGAAAGATAATTAAAACTAACAGGGGATTATTTCTCAAAACGGTATACAATTTTATTCCAAGAATAAGAAGAAATTACATATAATTCTAGCTCAAAAGGTTCTTCTAAACCAGAGGCATCATCAAAGGGGGCTCATAAGAAGTGGTGGAAGAAAAGATTTACAGGTTTGAGTAATAGAGGTAGTAGCAGAACAAGCACTCCCTATGGAAGTACAGGAAGCAGAAGCAGTAGTGGCAACTATAGCAGCAATTATGTTCAGTACAGGATTTCCTTTGAACCCCTTACGACTTGTTGGGTATGTGGACTCGACTAGTAGTAAACTATAAAATTTACAAAAGTTCAGATTCAAACTAGGTAAGAATACAAAGTAAGAGTATTCAAATCATGCTAGAGCAAGGTACAAGCATCTAAACACGTGGTACAACATCTACACGCAGTAACCTACAAGCATTTCCCACACTCACGAGTAAAATCCCTACATTATCAAACCAGAACTCTCCTTCGTTTATTACCCATAGTTTCAAAAAAACTATCATTTTTTACCTAACCTCCAGTTTCCAGTATGCTCCAGCACTTTACAAAATATGCTTACATCACTGAAGTTTAAAAAATACATATACAAAATCGATAGAGTAATACGATGAAATAAATAAGACTGAATGCTTACGGCTAAAATGAGGTTCGGCATGTTTCCATCTCGCGCGATGACTTGGAGCCTGGCAACGGCATCTTCATTCCCCACTATGTCCGCCACTTTGGTGGGCCTGAATTTCTCTACCCACGGGATTTCTGGGCCAACGGCTGGTGCAGAAGACGACGATGAAGCCATTAATGATTCTACGAGAGATTATAGTTTTACAGAGGATTAGCAAGCTCAACTGAAGAAGAAAACCCTTTCAAAAAAGCGGGGAAAACTCTTTTCCCTAATTTTAAATGGTCCCTATCCTAAGGCCCTCGTACGGATTCAGGACCAATTCTTTCATTCTTCGCATAACCATTCTGAATGATCCTTTTGGTACGAAATTGGTCCTTTTTATCTCACTCCGTTAATTAACGGTTAAAAAGTCGATCTTCTAAATAAAGTTAAATAAATAAGAAAATAAAATAATAAAAAATAAATGACAATTTTTCAACCTCAATAAACTTTTTCAATCTTGGTTCAAGTGATTCCAATAAGGGATTTGGTTAAAATGTATAACCAACCAAAGTTTTTAACTAAAAGGTCTTCAATTAAAGTTCTAAAGGCCCATATAGATTAAAAATTCTAATTCGTCCAAAATTACTTATCGAAAGTCCTAACCTAATTTCATTCCCCATTTTGCCTTCATCCTTCCTGAATTCTGTGAGACTTAAGTCACTTGACCGGCGGTAGTGACCACGGGGATGATCACGTCTTCACATGGGACAAGTGAGTCCCGTATGAATTAAAAAATCCCGATGCCCATGGATTGTGCACGATCATACTCATGATTACTCTCATAGTTCGTGTAGCATAACCCATTTTATGAACCCTAATTTATCCTCTTATTCTCTCTTTTCTTTATATTTTAAGATTGATTGCATTTATATCACTTATTTTTTCAAATTGATGCACGAACCAATTGACTTCCCTACATTTCTCCAATTCACCCACTTCCAAATTTATTTATTTTTTTATTTATATAATTAAAAAGGTAAATAAAATATGTTGAAAAACATATCTCCCATTGGAGATCATTCAAATTCATTGAAGATATTGATGGATTCAATATTTATTTCGTCTTTTTCTTCAATTATTTCGAAATACTATGACATTCTCATTCTCATTCGAATATTTTTATTTTTATTTTTGTTTTTGTTTTTGTTTTTGTTTTTATTTTTTTGTCCACTCAATGTGATAGGCTAAATATCTAGTTGCTATGGTTACCATGAAATTTTGTTAACCTTTGATTGATTGACTGCTCGTTTTCAATTTAACCCTTGTTTGAGGCTCATTTTTTTTTCAAAATACATTCTTCAATAATGATTTGATATTATTTCAATCACACATTTTTTAATAAAATAATATTACACGCAAATTCAAAACTTTTGCTTATTTTTTAACCACACATTCTGCATCATAACAATATTCAAAATGCATTTTTTTGAGAAAAATGGTGCTCAAACAACCTTTTAATTCCTTTTGGGTTCATTGTTTGTTATAGTTTTGATTGACATCCTATTATTTGGTAAATTTTTAAACTATTTTTCGAGATTCGTGGTTATAATGAGAGATAATAAGTGTTTGTAATTCATGTTTGGTATTAATTAAAATTTTAATTTTAATCTAGATTAAAATTTTAATTTTAATAACAATTAACTTTAATAGAATATATCACGAGACCCGCAACATTTTAACTTTTATCAAAACTTACTAAAAATTCTAATTTTAATCTTCATCAAACAGAGGTAGAATAACAATAGTTTTGAACCTTTCCTCTTTTCTCTTCCTCTCTTGATACTCTCTCCCTCACGCTTTTTATCAAACCTTAATTCTTTTAATTTTTTAAAAAATTTGTCCATATTTTTTCTCTTCCTCCAATTATTTTAAAATTTGTCTATAATTTTTTTACAAATGATCACATCTACTACAAATATTTACCTCCCAATCAAAATTTCTATTAATTAGAATTTAGATTTGCATTTTTTCTATTAAATTGTGTATATGGAATGTATCTAAAATGACTACGTTCAATTTGACTTATATTTAACAAATTAGTTTTATTTAATTGATTATTAGTAGTAAATATTTGTCATATTTTTTTTTCTTTCAATTACTTTAATTGGTTGTTTGTATCGAAATTTCAAATACACAAAAAATTAACGTAAATATGTATTCTCTTGTAATGGGTAAAATATTAATAAAATGACTGTTTAGAATTAAATTGATGAAAATGATGACCAAAATATTAATGAAATTGTTTTTTTATAAATAAATCTTCATTTTTTCGATTCAAGTATGAATCATTCAAAATTAAAAAATAATATATTCCATCTATATAGGTTTATTTGTGCCCCTAATTCTAAATATCTGCATCCGCCAATGCAAACAACACTAGGTGGGTTGTGGGCCAGTCATTGGTGGGTTGTGGGCATTTTTATTTTGAGCCCCCTAATAAGATGAGGCCTTAGACCATTGCCTGGTTGGCTTTGGTCCAGGGCCAGTCCTGCAAGAAGTAGTGTTGATAGAACTGCATTGACACTGTACTTTTTTCACAATGTCCAATGCAATGTTACCAGTATTGCATTTAGACAGTGTACATGTTGAATCACTTTGTACATATAGACTTACTGATAGAAAATATAGGCATATTTCCAATCTTAGTGCGATATTTTTTGATATTCTAGTTTTGTCTAACATCTTTATTTATTCTCATCATTAATAGAGACATAGTTGGATTGTAGATCAAAATTGGTTTAGTTTACCACGAAAAAAATTAAAATATAAGGAATATTGATTGTTAACTTAAAACAAGAACTTGTTAATAACAAGTAATTGAAGATTAAAGTATGGTAACTTCGGTATCCTAGCGCCTTTATGATTTGATTAATTTCCATGATTTGTTTAAATTTTATATTTGCTTATTTTAGTAGTTAATTAGATAAAGTGAAAACAATTCTCAAATAAATAATTTTCTATAACTATAACTAGTCTTAAATATCACTACTATATAAAAAAAGGCAATCCTGAGGCACTGTAAAATGAATAGTAGATTCATCCATTTTGTCATACTGTAGCTTCTTCTTTTCTTTTTTTTTTTTTATTGAGAGAAAGAAACGACGTCGTTTATCTTACGTGTTTGATACAGTGACTTTGTTGCTTTTTTTCAATTTACGCAGCGTGGAGGATTATGTCACATAGCCCTCTTTACTCTTTCTCCATTTTTACACGATACAGTTATGCCTCTCTAATTCTCCACACTATCTTTTTCACCATTTTCTCACGCTATCAACATGTATCTTTAAAAAGTTTATTTTTGAGAAAATAAGTAAGTTTAAATAAAAACATTATTTTTATATATGTACGTAAAAGGTATATAGTAACCATTTGGTTGACCAAAAAATAATATCAATCAAAATGTTTACTGACCGTTTAAATAATAATTTATTGAGGGGGTTAATTCAAGAGTAAAAGTGTGAATTCCATAAATATATAATTGAAAATATGTTTGAAGAAAAATAAATTTTAAAAAATGAAAACCAAACATGTTAATAAATGAATAATTATATTTATTTTTCGAGAAATTGATTTTTATTACCATTTCATTTTTATCATTAAATGATTCTAATATTAATATGTTAGATTGTGCTTCAAAATTACATAATCTATCAAATATAATTTTTAAAATTAATTTTTTATAAAGTAATATATTTGTATGATTTTTTATTTTTTTTTGAAAAGTGAAATGTAATGATACTAAAAAATAGAAAATAATTAAATTCTTATTATTTTTTCCATTTAACTTTGTACATCATTACAAACCTGCCAAATATTTTTCCAAATACATCTGCCCAAAAAGTCCTCTTCGTGTCACGAAGAGGAGTTCTCCGCTCCGTGTTACGGAGAGAGGAGCTCCGTGACACGGAGGGGTTGGGTATATATATTTATATATGTATATTTTTCTTTCGCATTTTATATCTACAATTTGCTCATAATTCTCTTCTGCATGCCTAGGAGGCTAGGTCTCGTCAATTCATCCCCATCTCTTGCTGCCCCGTCCTCTTCTTCCCCCCTTTACGCTCTTTCTCTTTGTTTTCCCTCAAGACCGACTCGCATGACTGATTTCTATACAATGAATTCTGGGAGCTTTGGAATTTCAGGTATTTTTAATTGGGTCTTATCTATTCATATATTTTTTGGGTTTCTGTTGAGATTTGAAGATAAGACCAAATTCACTGATAATTTGAAACTTCTGCCTTGAATGTTTGTGTGTGTTCTACTCTTTCTTTTCATGTCATGTGAAAAAACTCCGTCACTATAAAATTACTTGGTTTTTCTTCAAATTTGGATAGAGAAAAATCTTTCTAGGTCTTCCTCATATGACCTTTTGAATACAATGTTAAAGGTTAAGAATTTGTGCCTTTTGCCCGACCATCAAAGATAAAGGTGTATTTGTGGGTTGAGATTTGTAAGACTACTAGGCTATAAATGCTTTTGGGTGACTAGTATGATATAAAGAATAAAAAGGAATATTCAATCATGTTGAGTTTGAGATCGGACCAATCAGGAAGAGTAGGCAATTGAGTTGGGTAGGTTGGGAGGCGACATGGATGATCGAGGTTGGACTCTGCTTCAAATTTGTGCTTGGAAAGGGGACCTAAAACGTGTAATATTTTTACCCTTAACAGTTATCTTTTCTTGTGTTTTATGAATATGAGCATGTAACGATTTTCTTTTGAGTTTCAGTTTTTAATATATATTTTTTCGTTAATTCTATTGTTTTCTTTCATTCATTGTGCAATGTGTATGGTGTTGAAATTAAGTCATTAATATATATTCACCGGTGGATTTCATTGTTAGGATAATTTAGATCATGAGAAACCCTCACTATAACTTGATGATAAAAATATGGATTTAGTAAGTGATGAATGCAGCACCTCACGTTTTTAGGCAATGAAATAGAAACATCAAGAAAACACTCACCACTTGAACACTTATAGTATATTTGCAAGAGAGTGGTGGTGAAGAGTCCTGCCAAATATGGTTTGTTTTTGCTCTTCTTTTACCCTTTATATTTTCACTGTCAATCATTTTGATACAAGTTTTTGTTCTTTAATTCTAGAACGTTAATTTTTTTTTAGAGTAATCTTGCATATGAATGAAGTTCGCTGCTATTAAGGTTTTCATCCTCTATTTTTATTATAAAATATATTTGTC